AATTTCTAAAAATTTATAATTTATGTTAAAGATGAGATAAAATATACATAACTATTTAAATAGATTAGAACTACAGAAACGACTACCATGGCTAGAATTACAAGAAAAACCAATATCTGATTCGACAAGCACTACAACTGAGACAGTAAGTACACCACCGGCCTCAAGTTAAATTTTAATTAAAACTGTTTTCCGAGAACAAAGAATAGGATTGTGTTTGGCTTTTGTTTGATTATTTTATTTCCATTCCGTTAAAAATATGCAGTCCTTGTATAGTGAAAACAATAAAGCAATTTTCTGGCATTATGTACTTCCATAATTTTCCTCAATGTAATTTGCATATATAATGTACATAAATATTATATAAATATTTACTATATATTTTACTATATATTTTTTCGCAAAAGAAAATAAAAATAATAAACTAAAATAGTTTATTATTCATATCTTGTGATATATATGAATACTAATTGGTGAACTAACATGATCATTAATTTTTTTCTCATTTTAGTTATTGCTAATCATTGCATAGCTAAAATATATCTTACAATGTTTTATATTATATATATTATATTAATATATTGTTTTTCTAAAACAGTTTTATATAATATATATTATCTTTCTAAAACTTTTTCTAAATTATATTATATATAATTATATTAAAAGCATGAAGAATAAATATATAATTATATTAAATATTTTTGAAAAAACAGCGATTTTTTTTTATAATTTTTTCTTTCATTGTGTTTCATATTTTCTTTCTTTCTTTTATTTTTTTTATTTCTTTTGTGTTTTATCTCTTTGTTTTTATTTTTATATTATTGTTATATTTCATTGTTTTATATGATATATTATTGTATGATGATATTGTATGACTGTAATATTATTACTATATTGTAAAAAAGATTTTATATGAAAATTATTTAACGAAGTATATTCAACAAAATATTTTATTTTTTAAAAATAAAAAATTTAAAAAAAGATTTAATAATTTTTTTATATGATAAATAATTTAAATGAAAAAATTTGATTTTTTATTTATAAATTGAAATTCAAACATGTATTAATTAAGTCAGTATATACATTAATCACAAGCAATATGTGCTTGCGAGATTTATGATTTATGCTTATTTGAAGAAGTTCCTCGTATGGAAATTTTTTTCCATTATTATCATTTTATCCATTATTACTGGTCTCTTATTAAGCCTAAACAAAGAAATTAGAATAATATTGATTGGTAGGACATTGTTTTTAATTAATTGATACTCATTAATTATATATTTTTGAGATAACCTGGCTCGATCCTAACGTTGACCAACCAGTTTAGAGGAATTTTCCTCTAACTTAGAGATATAACAAGGATATTAACCGTAATTTTATTATCTATGTAGTTATTATTATATATTATTATATCCCATCAGAAAACTACGATCCTTTTATTAGAAGAAATTGCAAAGAAGACAAATTCTTACCAAAAAATAAAACAAGAGAATTAATAAATTTAATTAATAAATTTAATCTAATCTAAACATGTCGAATAGGACAAATAGATAGTTTTCTTTGTACTATGCATTAGGTTTTGATCATCGGAGATGATTATTTATTGTTAGAAATATAATGAGAGATCCAGATTTCATATAGACATACTGCAATTATAGTACAATCTTATCGTTACAAGCACTAGCATTTTATTATACACACAAACATTTACCTCAATCGAAAGATCATTCAATATATACGTGCACTTAATGAGCTTGTATTGTAACTGTGAATATATTAATAATATGTATGTAAATGTGAATATATATATTAATGTATTCACATTATTGTTAATGTATAAAAATACATATATATATATAGGTAATAGTATATAATTAATAAATGCTGCAATGAAGAACCAAAATTGGCAAATTACAACTTTATTCATTTGTTTTTTTACATATTATAGCTACAATTCTAAGCCTTAGAAATTCGAAAATAAAAAAAATTTATATGGAGAATAAATCAAATTAACTTATGCTTGTAATAGATTGATATTATAAATTATATTATAAATATTAAAAAATCTTTTATATAACTACATTGCATAATTGAGAATTACATTATATAATTATATATCTATATTTTGTAATTAATATTTTTAGTTTTTTCTTTAATCAAATAAACATTTTAATTTCGAACATCTTTGTGTCGAATTATACTTTGCGTAGATGAAAATTGTTATCGATATAAAAAATCCTTCAATTTTTTTCGATTATTTGATAAAAAAGTGAATAAAAAGTTATTTTACATTATTTAGTTTTATGTATATCAATTATCAAAGCGTTACGCCTCGATCATCAGACTTATTCCATTAAATTAAGATCAATAAAAATATAGAAATATTTGAACTATGAAATTAGTGAAAAAAATGTCTTTTTCTATATTGTTTTTATATATGTATACTCAAAATTTATTGCGCAGTGATTTAAATTTTTTTTTAATACTATCTTAAATATTAATAATCTAAAATTTATTTGATACCTTTCTATGATATAGCTTTTTTTGTACTATGTTGTCACTAATTTTTCTAAGACAATTAGAATAATAAATCATTTTTTCATATATCTTTCTAGGAACTTCCGACTATATTAATTCACAGAAAACATTGATTTATTCAAAAATTCTAAGCAATTACAAGATATCAAGATCTTTGAATAACAAATATAAAAAAAGATATTGATAACTTTTAAAGTGAAAAATTTTTTAAAACTAATGACATTCTAATAAATATATTTATATTTGATATAAAAAAAATTATAATCAAAATTATTTATATTATTTTTTAAAAAAAACTTTTATATTGAGAAATGCATTTAATATTAATTAAAAGTATAATAAAACATATTCGTGAGGTGTGAATTTCAAACCATCGACATAATAAAAATTCCTAAATAAATGCATTTATGGGAAATATTAATCTTTTTTTTCTTCATTAATTTGCAATTATAATAGTTATATATTTTCCTATATCTACGATAACAATGAATAGAAATGCCACTAGAGATATGTATTTTATTGACATCTTGTTTAAAAATGTAGGAGAGAACGTCTTTGTTTTGCTTGTCAAATTACAGAAAATTTAAATTACAGAGAGATCTTTTATGTGTTTCTTTCGATTAAAATAAAAAAAAAAACGATCACCATTTAAGGAAAAAAGAGATGATCGAATTTTTTGAGTACGCATTACAATTATATTTGCGCGTTAAATCTTTCTATTATATATCATTTTTTTTTTCGGCGAAAATAATAAATTAACAATTATTTCACTGTTATTTAATACGATTGTATAAAAGTTTCATGGAAAACATAATCGTTACCGCGGCTAGTAGACATCGGTACATCATCAGATAACACAGATAATATTTGCGCTTTGGCTATTTTCTATATGAGCATATTAACACGTTTTATCATTTTTTAACTTAATATCTATAACATTCGAGAAGTACACTTTTTTTTCAACTTTTAAAAATGAACTAAATTTATGTCATACATATAAGCGCTTTTCACAGTGAATTTGCTAATTATATAAAATAATATGGAAAAAAATGATTAGGTAAATATAACTCTTCGGAAGTGAAGTTTCGTATTTAAAATTAAATGAAAAAGAAATTATTTTTACATCAATTTTAATGTAAATAATTTATTACAGGATTCTAATAATTCTGTTTTGTATTATTATATTACTTTTCATGGTATTATTGAAGTTATATTTTTTATAATTGTATAAAATTTAAATTATACTATAAAATAATAAATATTAATGCATAAGAAATAATTTTGCAACTTTGCAATTTTATTTTTTTTTTTAAATAGATTAAGAGTTTTATGTTCTATATATTATTTAAAAACCTATTATTTATTTATATTATTTATTTTAGTTCATAAAATTTAAAAATAAATTTATTTATATACTACTATATATTGTTTTCTAGAATATAATATACAACAGAATGAATAGAACAACCTGTAAATGTTTTTAATTTATACAATAATAATTTTAATTTATACATGTCTATATAAATATAACATGTTTTGAATTTATTTAAAATTTATTTAAAATATTTGAAATATAAGTAAGAATAATATTATTTGTTTAAATTGTATTATTCTTATTTTTATTTATTCATATTTTAAAAAATTAAATAGAACAAAAATGAAAAGAATTAGAAATTTAAAGGGCAGTTATTATTAAGTTTTTTCATAATTTACGTTCCTACACTTTTTCAAGTACTTATATATGTTTTGATCTTAACGAGGCATGTCATTTCGCGTGTCTAATATCTTCTTACAACAATATTATTATATCTAATTGTACATAAGACACTCAATAGACGAACGAACATTTGTAATTTCGAACAATTTACATTAGTAAAATTTATTCGAAAGTTCGTTTTAAAAAAAAAACGATAGATTTCTCAATTATTTATAGATTAAGATTGCGTGTTTTCATTATGCTATTTAATGCATATAGTATTCGCGTGACACGCAAAGCTGTTCTAATGTAATGAAATTAGGCGAAAGGAAAAAATAACAGAGTTATATGATTATGTAGATTAGAATATATCTCATGAAATTCTCTTTTTTTCAGCGAACAAGAAAAAGCATATTGCCTAAAAATTTGTATTTGCTATTATTATTATTATTATTAATTTCTATTATTATTAAAATTATTATTATTTATATTATTTTTGAATCTGTTTTTTTAAAACTTTGATTAACACTTGTTAACATTCTTTAATACTTGTTTTTATTTTATTTTTATTATTTTATGTACTATTTTGTATTTTTCTTAATATTATATCTCAATTTTTTTTTTTAGAATACTATCTTTGTAATTTTTTCAAGCGTATGCATTCTTTATAATTTTTTTCCATTTTTTTTTTTCGAAAATATGGATTTTTTTTTGTATTAATCAATCTTTATTTTAATATTATCGAACGTATATCATTCTTTTTAAAAATTATCGTACATTCCCTTATATATATTTATATGATAGATCGAATTGATGTATCAACAATATATCATTATATCCAAAAATAAATGTATAGTTTAATTATTACAGAAAAAAAAATATTAATGTATAATCGCAAAGCGTTTCAGAAATTAATGGTATTTCTAAAAAAGAAAATATTAAGGTATGATTGCAGAGTGTTTTGTATCTACATATATATACGCAATATAGAACAAAGATGTTATACTAAAAGAATATTATGCTATGACGAGAAATGATGTTCTTGAGGAAGACAATTTGTATCGGTTCCTTTGCAATTATGACTACTCATCTTGATCTTTCGTTTATCCTCGATATTTAATTTTTTTGCTTTATGAGCTCGTAATGAAGATATCAACATTGTTTGACTGTCCTTCGAAGATTCCTCCATCTTTACTCGCGATTTTTTTCGTTCCTCTTTGTTCTTATTCTCTGTCATTACTTCATCTTGCGTGTGCTTCTCTTCTAAAAATTTATTAAAAATTAAATTATTGAAATTAATTAAAACGATAAGTGTATTCATATTTTTAAAAAAATGATAAATGATAAATAAATTTAAAAATGACATAAAATCTTTTATTTCAAAATAAATTTAAAAATATAGGAAATATAAATAAAATCATTTTATATATATAATTATATATTATATAAACTTATATATTAAAATTTTTAGAAATACATTTTTATTAAAAATATAATTTTTTAAAATTTNAATATTTAAAAAATTATGATTATATTATATGTATATATATATATGTATATATATATATTATATATAATAATTTTTGAAATGCATAAAATTTTATGAAAAAGAGTACTGGAAATAATTAAATATTAAAATATTAAAATTATAGCAAATATATAAATATTTAATTTATACATAGGAATATAAAATATTTAAATATTTAAATACAAAAATTATTAAACAAATGATAAATAATCAACTTAAATAATCATCAATTTTTTGAAAAAATATTAACTAAAAGATAATATACTTATTGTAAAAATTTGATTGCTAGCGAAACTTAATAATTGATAAATTTTTCATAATATCTATTAGGTTAAATTAGTCTTAATAAATTAATAAATCCATGAGACTCAGATTTAATATGCAGGATAAGTAATACTCAGAATTTTTAGAAGAAAAAGCACTATGTGAAACAATGTTAAATCGGATAATTTTTACACACATACATACACATATGTACGTATATACATACATATGTAAAAATAAAAAGTTTATTCTGCAAAGGATTTGATTCTCTAACTATTTATAACTTTAACTCATATTTTAATGATGAAATTGAAAATATCTTGTTTTTGTGTTTCTTTCAAAATTTGAATCATTTATAACAATTTATCAAATGATTATTATTAATAGTTACTAAAGTTTTATCGAGAAAAAAATTGATCGAGTCGAATAAGCATGATAAAATTGTCTCTAAATTAAATTGAATTTGACAATTATTAAAATATATATTTTATGGAATTTTAGAATAGTAAAATATTATTTTTTTATAATTTTATATCCAGTAAAACGATAATACTTTTTATAATTTAAATTTTATAATTTTAATTTTAATTTTTTTGATAATAATCAATTTTTAATATTATATCATTATAATCAAATAAAATATTTTTTTGATCATTTTTTAATTTTTTTGGTCATTAATAATAATGATAATCCATAAATAACATTTTATGCAACACTCCAAATTATATTGATAGCGTGAATATTTCCATCTTAATAAATATTTTAATCACGAATGAATCAATATAAATAATTGATAACAAAAATACAAGAAAAATTTTGAATAGAATCATTATAAAATCGTTATATCGAATTATATAATATTTAACGTTTTTTCATTCAATAAAATTCAGTAAAAATCGTAGTAGCAATATTATTATATTTTCAATAATTTTTTAAAAAAATTTTATTAAATATTCATATATTATATTCATGTATATAAAAAAATTAATATATTTTTCTATTCTATAAAAGTATTATTAGAGTAAATTTTATAATAATAATATTTTTATTTTATAATTATAATACTATTCATATGATTTTTTAGAAATATTTATATATATAATATATTATATATATTTATATATATAATGGAGAAAAATTTATTTATTTTATGTTTGTAATTTTTATGTTTACAATAAATCGCTAAATATGAGATATGAAAAAAAACAAAAATAAATAAGTACTAAAGAAATAGTATTAAAGAAATAATATTAAAGAAATAGCAAGTATGTTTTCTGAATTATCTTATTTTTAAACAGTTTACAAAACTTACGTAAATTTAAATTTCAATAAATCTAGCAAAAATTAGAAATTAGAAATTGATTTGAATTGAATAGATCTTAAAAATGTATGTTTTTAACATTTTCTCAATTTGTTAGGATTATAAATATTTGAATCTAACTTAAATACATAGTATTACATGCACTTAAAGATGTTCAGTTTTTTCTTATTTCAACAGTAAATGAAAATAGAATTTTAAAAAAAAGTATATTCAAAGTCATAATGCCGATATTTTTTGATAAATTTTTACACAATAAGACTTGAAATATCGAAACTATAAAAATTAAAGATTTATATATGTGATTTATCTTAAATCAATTAGATACAAAATATTATCAACTAATGAATATTTTACTTCATGAAATAACAAAAAAAAAAAAAAAAATAAATAAATCTAAAATCTATGCTAAATAAATTAATTGTATAAAATATTTCATTATTTTTTCAAATAATTCAAATAATTCATTATTATTTCAAATAACCTTAAAAAATAATTTTAAAATAATATTATTTTAAACTATTTTGAAATATTCAAGTCTAATATTAAATAATTAAAAAATCAACTTGTTAGTGGATTTTTTCAAGCGACTAACTATGATATTCTTTTAAAAAATGAAAAAATATAAAATTTATAATAAATATAAATAAAACAATTTCTTGTAATTAATTTTTTAGTATTTACTTCAACGAACTATAGAAAAACTACAAAAGGAGAAGCTAAGTACCTTCGAGAACCTCGTCGAATATCGATCTCTTTATCTTTGAAACACAATTTTTTTCTTCGCTTTGATTCATCTTAGACAGTAATGGGGAAACAGATTGTTTTATCCTTGTCCCGTTTATATTGGAGAAAACATCATAGGTGCTCGTTTCATTATCGCACGTACTTATGATCGAAGCATTATCTGTGATAAGCTTCTCCGTATCTGAATCTCCGATGTTGTTATAGTAATTATTGCTGCTTTCAGATTTCTTCAGAATTGACTTGGATATTCGGTGCCTATCTATGAAAGGCACACCTTCGTTATCTATCGAATCAATGGACAGGGAAAGTTTGCTCTCAGTGTTCGTTCCTGAAATTTGCCTTCGATGACCTGCATATACAGTAGACACTTCCAAGTATTGCGTTGACCCAGAATATAAAGAAAATCGATAAAAGAGTAAATTGATAGATAGATATGACTCAAATATATATAATGTGATTCAGCCATTAAACATATTACTGATAGATATAAGAATGATATGTTTAATCTAGATATATTTATATATATTAAAAAGTATATAATTAAGTATATAAATATAATAGTAGAAAATAATAATATATTTTTAAAAATATATTATATTTATTAATTACATTTAAATATTATTTAAATAATTGGAAAATATTTGGAAAATAATTATTAATTTTATTTATTTAACGAAAGAAAAGAATTGGAATCT